AAAAAAAAAAAAAAAAAAAAAAAAAAAAAAAAAAACCCAAATATTCCACTAATACATACCTCACACTGCTCTTGATCAGCACCAGGAAGTCAAATACCTATTTACAAACACTTTCCCTTTCTGATTCAAAACATGGTTGCAACTATACACACAGACATAATCTCCAGTTTCATTCACTTCATTGCAACTCTTCAGTCTTCACAGGAGTCCAGTTATTTCTTGACTTCCTTGCATGTGATACAAATCCAACTATGTATCCTATGAACGCTCCAAGTACCAAAATACTTCCTCCCATCACATACCATGAGAATGAGGATTCTAGCATCCCATTTCTCGACCTCGAGTTCTTGACACTCTCGTTGAACTTTGCACCGACACCGCCATTTACAACCTGCCCTGATGCCAAAATCTCAACCGAATCGTGTACCTCTCCGTCGTGGTTTCCGACATAAGAGATTGTTAGCTTCTCTTTCGTAGCAACCAATCTGGTGTACCCAAACTCGCCTCCGCGGTACATCGATCGCTTTGGTTGTGGGAAGATTGGGACATCGAGGTGGTTTGGTCTCGGCTCCCAGATAGGCTGCCAATCTTGTCCAGCCATCCCAATAACAAGATGGACGGGTAATGCCTCCCAGTCTTCTCCATCCACACCCATACTTCCACAAGTGTAGTTTTTAAGCGGGCAAAATCTCTCGTACCTATGAACATGACCCCATAATGCCAATGTCACGTTGTTTTTCACAAACAATGGTTCCAAATGGTGCAGCATTTTCTCCCTCAATGGCGTGTCTCTAAGTTCGTTGCTCGTCGTGTACATCGGTCTATGTCCTTGTACTACCACGAACGGCGTCTTCTTCCTATCAACAGACTCCAAATCACGCTCTAAGAATGAAAACTGCCTACTTCCTTTAAGGAAATTGGTTTCTGTAGATATGTATACAAAATGCACGGATCCCATGTTAAACGAGTAGAAAAGGTTTCGAGTAGGCACGCCGTTGGCTTTAGTCGGTTCTGATGAATTTCCTGGCATGTTGAACTTCAAACTGTATGGCACCCCACATTCTCCTCCCCCGTCTTTACCATATATACCGGACGCCCAGTCGGGCTTCCATGGCTGAAGAGGCCAATCATATTCATGATTGCCAATACATACATGGTATGCAACCTTGGATGCCACAGGTTCAATCTGATTGAAGAAAACGTCCCACAACCATGAATGACCCCTTGCATAGCTGATATCTCCAATGTGAGAGACAAATGCAGGTTTGTCACCGAGAGCTTCGATGTCACGAAGTATCCACCTAACAGTCGATATACTCTCGTCTTGTGTTCGGACAAAAGTCGTGTATGGCGTTGCAGCTCCCATGTCACCAAAAAGGAAAGCAATTGTTTCATCTGAGTCCTCATTACGAGACATAAAGTTTTGAATGCTACTCCAACCTTTGGACTCACTTCCGACCTGGTAAAAGCGAACACCATTGCATTATAGTTCTTTACCTATATGGTATAGTCAACTCAACAAAAAAACAAATAAAAAAAAAGGACAAAAAGCACCATCACTTTCATTTCTAATTTGAATGCAGCTTATAGTTGAGGAGGAGAACAAAACATTCTTTATAACGATGTGGAAATCTATCCCTAGCAGACACGTTTTAAAAAACCTTGAGTGGAAGCCCAAAAGAGAAAGTCCAAAGAGGATAATATCTAGCGGTGGGCTTGGGCGGTTACAAATGATATCAGAGCCAAACACCAAGCGATGTGCCAGCGAGGAGGCTGAACTTCGAAGGGGGTGGACATGAGGCGGTGTGCCAGCATGGACGCTGGGCCTCGAAGGGGGTGGATTGGGAGGGTCCCACATCGATTGGAGAGAGGAACGAGTGCCAACGAGGACGCTGGGCATCGAAGAGGGGTTTATTGTGAGATCCCACATCAGTTAAGGAGGAGAACAAAATCCCACATCAGTTGATTAGGAGAACGAAACATTTTTTATAAGGGTGTGAAAACCTCTCCCTAGCAGACGCGTCTTAAAAAACCTTTGAGGGAAAACCAAAAAAAGAAAGCCCAAAAATGACAATATCTATTGGTGGGCTTGAACGGTTACACAAACACCAGCTGTTCATGTACATGTAATAGAACCATCATACAGTACCAATCTCCTTCATGATTTCTCATGGCTATAGCAGAGCACACTACACAATGAATCAACAATTGAAACAAGCAGCATAAATCATCACAAGAAAACATCATAACAACCATATGATTTAGCTAACCAAACTACTAATGCCAATGATCAAATTTGAAATTCCATCAGATACAACAGAACAAAAGATTAGGCAAAAAGGTTACCTGATAATAAACCCTAGATCCATTCTGCAAGTTTGTCATAACAGCATCATGAATGAAACCAGGATCCCTCCAGCCAATGCTGTCATTAGCAGGGGAATCGCACATGTGCTTCCTCTCGTACCTCGCAACACGAGCCGCAACAATCTGATCAAGCTCCTCCTCCTTCTCTCCATACCTCACCAACCTTTCCGATCCATCTTCCGTCACGAACATCACTCTCATTTCATCATCCTGGTCCGTGAACGCCAGATGGATCTGCTCCGGACCGCGGCCGGGGCTAAATCGGAGCTCTTCCGAGGATGCAAGGAGGTGCTTCGTTCCAGGCAGAGGGTTGTTGTCGTGGTCATGATGCTTATCGTCAATCTCCGATTCGGTCCATCGAAAAATCCTGAAGGAGTATTTGGATCGGAGGTTGACTAAGGGGATTGTAACGGATCCGGAGCCGGATTCCCAGCCGGGAGACGAAGAAAGAAAAACATAGCCGATGAAATGCTTGTGAGACGAATTTGGAGGCGAGTAAATTCCAAGCCAGTCGAGCTTGGAGGGAGATTCGACTCCAGACCATTGGATTTGAACTGGATCGCCGGATTTGTTGAGAGTAGAAGGGGAAATCGAAATCGAAACTTTGGATTGGATTGAAATGGGGAAGATGGAGATGAGAAGGATGAGATAGATGAGATTCTCCATGGGAATGAATGAAGAACAGGTATCAAAAACACTGCTGGAGACGCCCAGATTCTTATTGGATGAACTTGGAAACAGAAAAATTAGGCATGTTCTTCAGCTTCAAGCTTGGATTCTTGTAAAGATTACCAAATTTTTGGGCCCATCCATCGTCTTTGTTACGAAACTTTTCAAATAATGTTAAATGGCAATTTTTAGTAGCCTCACCATTTGAAGTGAAAGGTTTGAATTGCTCCCCAAAAATGGTAATGCCACGACGAAAACACAATGTACGTATTCAAGACAGACCGATGGTAAACACAAAATTACTTCTATTGACACGGTCCATCACTATTTATTCAATTTATATGATATTGATTCATTTATGTACCCTCCTTTTTCGAACGCCACATTATCACTATCTTTTGCCTTGGTTCGTCCCCGAACTACATCTTATTAGGGGAGGTTTCACTCTAATATCATATGTAACGCCCCATACCCATATTTCGAAATTCGATTTGACACCTAATTGTCTCGGCTTTCCTTTACATCCCAACAATATGATGCTTTACCTACTTGACTTGTCTTGTCTCAAACTGCTTCTAGAAGTGAAGACTATTCTTACACACCAACATGGTTATTTTAACATGTTTTGTCTTTCTCAAACACATTCTAGGAGATGACCCAACATAGATTTGGTCCAAATCAAACACGTTTAACTTTGAAATTCCTATAATTGTGTAATCGAAAAGAAAATGTTGGTAATGAAAGTTTCACCGGCGTAGAAGACATTGAAATCGATTTTGATTTTATTTAGAATTAAACAAAAACGAAAAAATTAAGCCAACTTATATTGAAAAAACATGGAGAAAATTATGCGAGTCTTATAGATATATCCAAAGGGACTAGACAAGCCGAGCTCTAAAGGAAATCATGACTCTCCCGAGAGAAAATATGAAATTATATCATATTTAAATATTATAAGATATCTCAGTATATATTTAAATTATTTGAGACTTATGTATTTTTCATTTAATATATTTTATATAGATTAATTATTTTAATATTTAATGTCTCAAATTCTTTCGATTTAATATATATAATATATTAAATATTCATCAAAGTCCATTTAATATCTTAGATCTTAAGTACCATTAAATCTATACTTAACAATTTGTTTATGATTTAACTATAAACCAAGTCACTCCGATTAGTGAAAGGATGGGGCTCTATTGTTTAAGTCTCACAATCAACCCTTTAAAGAATTGTAACGACCTTAAATTTTTACTTACTCAGAGTTGTTACTAACGTTTCATTCTCTACTAAAATGCGGAATATAACTCTTAAATGACAACTTCATCTTAGTATAAATGTCGAAAATATTTAAAACATCATCTATCTCTAAAAAAACACAGTCATGATCTTACATATTTAAATACGAAATACTAAAATTTAGAAAAAATAAAAACAAATACAAAATTAAAATAGATGAAATGCAAATAACTTATTCTAACCTAAGACTAGAAATTTAAATATGAGTCTACCTTATGCATGTGTCGTCTCTGCTCGCGATGTCACTGTCATCCGTACATGGACGGCTTACCTTTACCTGACAAATGATGTGACACATGGCTTGAGTATTTCAAAGAATATCCAGTAAGTTACCCCACTATCTATCGGAGTCATGCTAAATTCAACCACATGCAAATATGGGACCTATCTCTATCTTATCTCATATTACGGGTGCCCTCCAGTCTGAACTACTATGGATGTGTAGTACTTCTCTACCCATGACCCACACATGTGAGTGTGAATCTTCAGGCTGTTCGCACATTCCATAGACCCTCTCTAGTCAAGCTAGCTGTTTGTAGCGACGTCCGGAGGTAAGCAAATCCCTGGTGTCCTGCTCCCCATGATCACCCTCATCATCATACTATGCACCTCCGCATTCATCAGCTCGAAAAGTTTCCCTATGCTTATGTACATACAACATCCATGAGGTCACTCTAGTTCTCATATTAACTTCTCTTCTGACACAACCCTAGTCTCATCTTTTTGTTACACTTAATACATGCTCGTTAGATATTTATATTAATATCATTTTCATATTCTTAGGTTTGTGTCCTAGGTAGGTCGATCTATCAACCTGATGCAATAGGACATACATCATCATACAACATGCTTAATATGGAAAACATCATCATACTAGGGTACATGTCATGTAGAACATCATAGTCATCATAAAACCAAACATCATCATACTAGGGTAAACGTCATGTAGGACATCATAGTATTATAAAGCTCAAGTGCATTGAGTACATCAAGTACATCATACATCATCATATAATGCACATACGTTATCATACATCATACGATATATCTCATACATCCTAAACATAAATATCCTATGCATCATTGTACATCATCTCAAACAATCATAAATTGTAACTCGTACAGTTTCTAGCCTATCCTATAGCAAGCTCATTTACTTGGTTGGCCTTAGGTAGAGTTCTCCCTTATTAATATACGTTAGCTCCCGTTCCTCGAGACCTGCTCCAAAGGTCGTAGAGATTCGTTTTCTATCACACTGTTCGTCACCTTTCCATTGTATTTCACAATTTAATATTAATCTAACTAACAATTGTGAAATACAACATTAAAATAGTCTCAATTATCTTAATCGGGGTCGAAAACAGGTCCAAGAGGGTTAGAACGGTGAAAATTGGGGTGAAAATAGAAAACCAAGCCGGATAAACTGAGGAAGTCACCGGGAGCCGCCGTCGCACCGTCCAAGCTGCTCAATCCAAAGAGTTGCTTGCACTGCGACTTGACATGTGGCAGTACCAAAGCGGGCCATGACAGTGCAGCGGCGTCGGGTCAGCTCGCGGGTTGAGTCGGGTTGGGGCGCTGTAGAATAGGCTATTAGGTTGGACCGCTACGGTTTGGGTTGCAGGTGTGGGCCTACTGGGCTGCTATGAAATTGGGCCTCAAGTTTGCAGGCTGGACCGGCGACTCGGGTTTCAAATAGGTCGCGGGTTGCGGGCTAAACCGGCGTCTGGCTATTGGGTCGAGGAGGAATTTGGGCTTTGGGTTCTGCTACTGGAGCCGAGTCGCAGGTTGGACTATTGGGTCGCGACGGGTTTAGGCCTCGGGTATCTGATACGGGTCCGACCCAAATCCGTCGGATTCGTCTTCCTTACCCGAACTCAGTGCGATTCTCCGGCGCCATTTTCTCCTCTCCTCTACATGACGATTTCTGATGTGGTTTCTCTTCCTTTTTCCCGATTTGGTTTGCTTGGTATAAGGGTCGTGGCCGGGGTTTTGGATTTGTGCTCTTGCTCGCCGGAAAACTACGAATCCTTTCTCTCTCTCTCCTCTCGGTTTTCCTCTCTGTCTTCTTTGCAGGTCCTTGAGGGCGTCTCGTGTTGGCTTAGAGTCGAGGGTTTCGTTGGTTGACGACTCGTGGGAAATGTGGAGCGTGTTTCTGCGTGGGTTGCAGAAACTTGGACTGAGTATTTTTTTCGACCGTTACAAGAACTATTTAGTATTCATCTAGCTCATTCTCATATAGGATAAGTCTCCAAAATAATAGATATATTGAATCGACCACAAAAATCATTCACTCATGCAAATTGAAGGACAAACCTTATAGGCATGAGTTGCATATCTTATCATATCTTGTCTTTTATAGTATGATTGTGACGCTTTCTCCCACTTAAACTAGTCATCATCCTCAATGACTTTCTCAAAGGCACAAATCGTATTGTTCATTGTGACATTTTCTCCCACTATATATCGACATCATTGCGATGACGATCCGAACATCAAACTGACCTGCTAAAACTAAATGTGTTTCAGAATGAATACAAAAACTACGAACTACTTATGAGTTATCCTGCTAACAAACAACATTAGATTTGTTGAAGGCTGTGTTCACGAGTATTTAGCCTTGCAAGGTGGTCCTTGCTGATTCACACGAGATTCCATGTGCCCCATGCTACTCGGGTCAGAGCGTAATCTAGTGATGCTTTCGGCTACTAGACTCTCGCCATCTAGGGTGCAGCACTCCACCGCTTCGCCTAGCAGCACGACGCTTGTATTGCTCTCCCACAACCCTGTTTTCACAGTTTAGACTGCTCCCATTTCACTTGCCGCTACTACGGGAATCACTTTTACTTTCTTTTCCTCTGTCGAATATGTATGAAAAATTGTTGGATAAGACAATTAAATAAACAAACCCGAAAGTTGCATGAATATTTCACAAGTGTGTCACGAGTGTCAAAATCGGTAGTGCAGTCGTGAGTCAAAACTAATTCTAAAATCTCTCTCTGTCCTCGTTTTCTAAATCCTTCTTTTAAAACCGAGACTAGAGGCTCGATCATATCACTTATCGTTGAAAAGTTAGTGCCGCACCATCACTTGTCGTTTGAAAGTTCACTAGCATTATTCTCCCAAATTTGTTTAAAAAATTCCAAACTTTTTGGTAAATTATTTTATTTATCAATTTTACCATACTAATATTTGAGGTTATTATTTAAATTTGGATCTTTATGAATTTTTTTTTTTATTTTTAATTATTTAAATAATAAATAAGTAGGTTAAGGTTCAACAAGATGTGATTTAAATGATTTTATTGAGATAGAATAATAGATGAATCAATAGAGATTAGAGAATGACACATAGTAAGATCATAGTAAATGACCATAGTGGGCGAGATATGTGTCTGCCAACCATTTACCCAAAACAATCTCTGTTTCCGTATTAAAATGACCATGATCCCACGAAAAGCCTTCAAATGTGGTAAAGTTTACAGGCAACTCCCGAGAGTCGATAGTAATGATGTCTGGAAGCTCTTTTTGGACTGCATCTTCAGCTGCTCTCACTGCCGGCAAGTTATGAGTATCGTGCTTCATAAAAAAGTCATAAAGGGATATCTTAACAATAATGACCGGTAAAAATCTAGGTTTTATATCATTGCGGATGTCGGTGATGAACGTCTTTAAGTTGTCTTTGTATCTTTGAGCGGTGTCATTCATAGCCGCATCGCTTTCTCCTTGATACCAAAACAAAGCACGCACAACTCCACCTTCTTTTTCTGATGTTTTAATTCGTTCAATGAAATTCTGGTAAAAAGTTGCACTAGGATTGCTAGGGTTTTTCATCCATTGTTCAATTAAAGTGCCACCTCTAGCACAAGGA